GAGCTAGCAGAGGTGGTCTCCAATTCGGCCTTGGTCTCCCAGCGCCTGGTTGTGCTGGGAGACTTTAATATTGATGCTGAGACCTCCTTGAATGGTGCAGCTCAAGATTTCATGGCCGCCATGACGACCATGGGACTATCACAAATTATATCTGGCCCTACCCATCAGGCTGGACACACACTCGACCTAGTTTTTGTGGCGGACAGTGGAATGATCAGAGTGGAAGAACAAAACATCCTTCCTGTGTCATGGTCTGATCACTATCTGATCAGTTTTAGACTTTCTGCGACCCTTAACCTCCGCAGGGGTGGAGGACAAATTAAGATGGTCCGCCCCAGGAGACTGATGGATCCGGATGGTTTCCTGAGGAATCTTGGGGTTCTTTCTGCCATGGAGCCTGGCGATCCTGTCGACGTCTTGGTCGATCTCTACAATAGGGAAATGACCAGGGCGATAGATACGGTCGCTCCCGAACGCCCCGTCACGTTGCGTCATGACAAGCCGTCTCCCTGGTTCTCCGGGGAGCTGGCTGTGATGAAGCATGCGAGGAGGGGGCTAGAGCGCACTTGGAGGAGATCTTGGGACGTGTCTGATCGAGCACGGGCTACAGCCTCTCTTAGGGTGTATACTGTGGCTATACGGGTAGCCAAGGAGTCCTATACGACTACCCGTATAGCGTCTGCAGCAAATAGATCTTCGGAGTTGTTCCGGGTCGTTGGGGAGCTCCTTCAGCCACCTGTGGTGGAGGAGGTTTTTGACGACCCGGAAACTCGGTGTAGCGATTTCGCACACCATTTTGCAGGCAAAGTCGCTCAGATACGCCTTGAGCTCGACTCCAATTTCACCGCAGTGCCAGAGGAGGTGATTGAGGCATCTGCTTGTCCAACTTTGTGGGATTCTTTTAGGCTTGTTCCTCCTGAGACTATGGAGGAGGTCCTTGGGGCTGTGAGGGCAACTACTTCGGCTCTGGACCCTTGCCCATCCTGGCTAATTAAATCGGCCAGGGAGGGTTTGGTTGATTGGTTTGGGTTGATCATCAATGCATCATTGGAG